AAAAAAAAATGGTTCAAAATATCGCAGAAATGCCCAAACGACGACGTGCTATTGTATGATTTATATTACAGTAACGTAAGACAAATCGGTAACACAATACGTACACTAATAAGTATTATATAAGACAATTTCTTCTAGTAAACCCCTCGTCCACGGGAGAGGGTTTGGGGGGGGGGGGGCGGGGACCAAAAAGTTACACGTAACAAAGGTTCCTCGAGAAGGTTTCATAACCTATCTTCGTAGTTTACTACAGGGGCAGGTTGCCACCTGAGAAAGGAAACTCTGAGAATATAAATAAAAGGACTGCATTCAAGCCTCCTAAATGAGTGAAATCGCAAAACGAGGTATTGGGGAAGCTTGAATTAGAGAACAGGACAAAAAGATACGGACGTTTCGGCATAAAGCCTTCTTCAGCTAAACTCTGAGAAGACGCATGGGAAAGTCTGGAGGGGGTGAAACCCATTCGTCCATCGCACTGGGTGACACCAAACCTAGTGAAACCATTACACACCAATGTCCCTCTCTGGTCTGCTCGCATGCGCTCGTGATGTTGACGCGCAGAAATATAAACAATGGAATGGGACGCGCAGTAAATTTAATAAAGAAAAAAATATATTCATATCATTTATTATTATACTATTTTTAATTCCCTTATTAAATATTTTCACCAATAGCAATAGATGCTGTAATCTAACGATGAGCATGCAACTGCAGATTTTCAGTTAGGCAGTATCCAGGGGCCATATGCGTAGCTAAGGGGGGCAGATGGTACAGATGTCTCAGGGCACCAGACTGGGCTTTGATGGCATTTAATGAATGAAAATAGTGGGTTTATAGAGGCGGGGGGAGGGCGTTAATATGAATATTGTCGCCTGGTGCAAAAGACCCTATGCCTCTCCCAGTGGCCTAGAAAAAAAGGGGGGGGCGGATGGGGTGGTCTAACCAGGTGTCATATTTTCATAAAATGGAGGGGCGTCACTTTCGGACACCTGCAGAGTTTGTATCGTGAAAGGAACTGCGCCAAAAATCTTGGCTCGACTATCATCCGCCCATGGCAGCACTAATATTAGCTACGCCTCTAGACAGTGTATCTATCGGCACCAAACTTGGCGATCATTTTTATCGGGAAGTAGGCCAGAAATCGATGGTGTCGATGGCCAGAGGCGTAGCGAGGGGGGTGCAGGGGGGGCCAGATGTCCCTTGGCGCCAGGTAGTTAGGGGCGCCAAAATGTGCTTTGATATTATTTTGATGAAAATAATGAGTTTGAGAGTTGAAAAAAAGAAAAAGGGGGCGCTTTAAAATGGATCTTGTCCCCGGGCGCCAAACACCCTCGCTACGCCGCTGTCGATGGCTCTTTGGAAGAAGAGGGTTCTGGGGATCCCAGTTAATGTTTTGATTATTTCAAAATAAAGAGGTGAATTTTGGAGTATACCTGAATTCAACGTTTTTTATTTGGGGAAAGTAATTTTGTAAACAAAAAAAAGGGGGGGGGGCATTATGGTGCCAAGTACCACACATAAACTGACTTTACTCAGGTTGTGGCTTGCCCCAGAGAAATCATTAGACACAATCTTAGATTCAAACACACACTGGTGTATCAGTCAAGGAAAGATATATTACACTATACTATATAGTAAAACAAAATAATGCATTCAAACAGAAATTTGACTCACAATTTTAACGTGTTGACTGGAAAAAGAAAAGATTCGACCAAATGTCCGTTCGATCAAATTTCCGTCGACGAATTATCCGTCGACGAAATTTCTTGCGATCAAATTATCGGATACTGGTGTCGCCGGGTGCGATCCACACTCCTCTAGCTACGCCACTGGTGATAGAACATTAGTACAGGACCGGCGCTAAGAGGGTGAGGGGCCTTGGGCTAATTGAATTTTGCGGGACCGTTGACGTTATATATTCCGCCGATAGGCTTTTAAGACACGTTATAGTGGAAACTTGGCCTGACTCCGAAATATCAGAAAGTGGGTATAATCTAACCCTCACCGCCACTCTGCAACTTCTACGAAACAATATAATTCGTCTTGTTATTGTGTGGTGAAGGCTTAAAAAAAAGGTTAACGGGTCTATATACAGTATAAAATTCCTGGATAATCCCCTATTTCGTCTGCTTAACATGCGCCCAGAGGTCTTCCCGTGATTCCTCTCGAAGGGATAGTACGAGAGCCAGACTGACCTTCGGACCATTTGACTATCTAAGAACTCAGAATATTGTTTTGACTGGATTAGGAACTATTAGTAGGCTTAGGTATAGGCCCTATTATAAATATACTACGGCAACGCGCGGGGCCCCGCAACGCCATCCCCTAGCGCCGGCCCTGTAGGCTGTAGGTAAAATAGTTAATACAGGCCATATGTGACTGACGAGATGAAAAGTAAGTCAACTGGGATTGTTTTTAACAAGAATAAGGCTCTTTTCATCCCTCCATTAAGTTCACACCACTGATCTCTGAAATCTCTGTTAGCTTTTTGGACATAACGATCACCTTCACAAAGACGTTAATGTTTGTTGCTTTGCTGTTTTTTAAAAAAAAAAAAGGTTTTATAAAAAATTTAATTTGTTTTTGTTTATTTCTTTCTGTGATGTTAAAAATAAATGCGAATCACAAATTTTAAGTTTTTAAAGGTGGATTACTCTCGTCAACTAGTTTTAAAATATGTTTAAAAAATCGAAGTGGATGCGTACACCGCGGCGGTGTACCTAGCGAAAACATCGGCTTTGGCCTGGGTACACCGCGGCAGAAAATTATTGGCCTCGTTTTGCGATCGAACGCTATCGTTCATTCAATTTCAATCATCCACTGTTGTAGCACGCGCTTGTACCACTTGTCTTCATCGTCGACGTTCATTCGAATATGCCTCAAATTTTTTTTTATTTACCTATACAGATATATATTAACATTATGAAATTTACACTTTAAGTGGTGGCAAAAAAAATTGTCTACACACAAGATTTCAAAAATTCGTAACCAATTTTATATTTAAATAATTCATTTATGTTGTTATATGAAAATGTCTGGTCATGACTTCTTGACAATAACAGAAATAATTTTTTTGCAAAAATCAGTTTGAGGTTCCGATATTATCAGTGATACATATTTTATTTACACTGGCTATTAATTATTAAAAGAAAAAGTGCATTTCATCTGCTGATTCCAAAAATAATGCCAGTTTTCTTCTGACACTTCAAGAAGTTAGTTTTAAAACTAAAATCGTATCTCAAAATGCAGATTATGTCCCTTGAAGTAAACTTATTTATACCTACTGTATCCAGGGCTATTAAAATGTACTCCAAAAGAATTTTTGTTAAGATGCAAGATCTAAGAATGTGGATATTGCATTTATGACAAATTTTAAATTAGTTGTAAATTAAATACAAATTATCCCAATTAAAATAAATAAGGAGATATATTATAGACTTAAATAAACAAATTTTTAAAAACTATACCATAACTATAGCTGTTAGCTAAATACAATGCAGTTTTTGGAATCTGCTCTCCAAACAACGCTATAACTAGACATCAAGAATTTTTTTTATAATAGTAGTATTAATCTTCGTTATTTATACATAAGTACCAAAAAAGTATTCATTACCGGCAGTCATGTTTATTCTGTTTAATAACCATTTTTGGCCCCAAATAAGAAGGGTTACATATTTTCTCATTGTTTCATTTTACTTACCCCCCCCCACCCCCACCCAAACCTTTAAAAAAAAATTCATAAATTTTATAAAAATGTATCCCTTAAAAGTACTCATTATAACAATGTTTATCCATATCAAGATGTATGTCCACAGGTCACAGAAGTTTGATAATTAATTCCATTTAATACTTGACACCAGTAATACGTTTGCAGCCTACTTGGTGACCTGTGACTATGACTATGGCCCTAGCTTATTATAATTATACATGTTTTTTTGTGTGGAGATACTAGGTATGTGACTTGTAAACACATTATTTCAAGTAAAATAAAAATAGAGTTACTA